CCCAATAGAGTTCAGAATGTCTATGAATGCTGATCCCAATGCATCTTTTTCATTATCAACATGGATATTAAAATCACCAACAATTAAAACTTTATCTGCAGCCAGCACTAACTCGGATATAAAATCAGCACATTCTTTAATAAAGTCTGTATGGTGCCCTGGTGGCCTGTATACAGTAGCCAGTACAAACATCACAGGGGATTTATCATTAAACACAGTAAATGTGAAAACAATCTAGCTAAAATGTACAATTAAGTTTCAGATTAAAAATACAAAGTATAGAGTTATAAATGTACATCATTTTTATTTACTTATCTTTTAAACATAAAAATGTTGCAGGATTTATTATAGGTTCTACGAAAATACTATTTCGGTCTTTCTACTTAAAAGTTTACTGTTTAATCCACTGTGTTCTGTTACATATCTAACATTACCCTTGCATCAAATTACATTACATTTTCTTTTTGAAAATCATGAAAACATTAATCATGGCGTTTTTCTTTTGCTACTTGAATAAATGGGAACTCAAATGGGAATCAAATGCTAAGATACATTTTTGAAAGATGTGAAATCAATACTCGACACACAAAACATCAATGGTAACACTCAACAAATAAAAACAACACAATATAAACCAACATTATAAATTAAACAACACAAACTGCTAAAAGTGTACTAAAAACAAGTTCAATAGCACAAATAAAACCAACAAGATTTAAAAAAAAAAAAAAAAAAAAAAAAAAATTTTCCTCGCTATATATTTTCTTTTGCCAAAAACAGTGAATATAAAATTGCTTACACTCTGTGAGAAAAAAAATGTTAAGTGTGAACTGTGTTGTGTGATATTCTGAGATAATTTTAAAAAAAAAAAAAAAAAAAAAAACTCTACTACAGCATGATCTATTCATGCTGCATTGCATGCTGTGTGCCTTCATAGTACATCACTGTAGAAACACAGTATGATGCTGTTTGTTTACAAGAAATGTTTGAGAGTGCAATTAGATACAAGAGAAGTCCCACTGTGAAATTACTGTGAAAGTAATCCAATTATTAATAAATAATGTAAATGTGCTAGACAGATATGTTAAATCATTGTGCTTGCATCTCATGCATTCTAGAAATGCAGCGCTCAAGTTAAAATAATCAAGCTAAATTAATATCTTTTAAAAAATGCATCTTGACACATTTTGTTTTTTTTTTCCCCACACCACTGCCCACTTATGTTTTTCA